TCCTCTCTCAATTTATCTTGGAATGACCTGTAGATTGCACATCGGTTTTACCCATGTTAACAGAAGTCACAAAGTTAATCTAGACTAATTTAAAAGTAAAATATGTAAATAAATGGCTAGCAATACTCTTGTTGGGGACAAAGTTTGTATCTCATTCAGGGTTGATGTTGGTTTACACGACTGTCAGCTTAGTGTTCGTTGATTTTAAAGTGGAATGTCCTCAAAAAAGTTTGTCTGCAACCAGACAGAGTGGAGTGATTCAAATAGCTAAGACCCAGAAATGTCCTTGTCCAGTGTCCTGCCATGCTTTTCTGCTGATAGATGTAATAGTATGTAAGGTATTTCCTCTTGCAGAGGACTTACCTTGAAATGAATTCTGGTAAAGAGATTGTTTTATAAATATGCTGTTTGTACTTATTGATGATTCAGCAGAATCACTTAGCTTTATCTTGAGACAAGGAATGCATTTATTTTATCATGACTCTTGTGTGGAGGATTGCAGGTTTTCCCAGCTAGATTTTTTTTAGTTTCCAATTCATGCATTAACTGAAAGGTCACCTCCATATTTTTGCTTCTGGGGTCTTGTTAGTGTATGTGCCGCAAGTATGGCCTCAGAGTTACACATTTTCCTCCGAGTATAATCTCTGAACATTCAGGTTTTGGGTATCTCAAAAGAATTTAGGGAGCAGTTAAAATATGCCAAGCGTCAGTACCACAGACCAAGGGATCTGAATACTTTGCTGTCACATAACTGCATTAGAAGCGGATATTCCTGAGGGGTAAACATAAAGGGAAGGTGCTCCAATAGTATTTACAAAATTTTAGCAGTAACTTCCCTTATTATTGGTATCAAAGCAACTACTGTCAAAGTCCTGTAATTTCTACGGGCCATAGACACAGCACTACACGGTTCAGGCCCGTAAATTCTACGGGCGCAGCAGCGAAGAGGTCAAAGTTAAAGACTTTGTCAGGAAAGACTATTATTTGGTAATCTGGTCTCTGTATGCTTGGTGACAGATAGGTACGTGTTTTTAAGATTGAGATAATATTTCTACATATATATTAGGATTTGTTGCAGCAACTGTTAAGTGATTCCCTTTTCCTTTTTCTCTTTTTCCTCTTTACCAGGGGTTACAATGAGAAAAAGATTGAAAACAACATTGAGTCAGAAATCTTTCAAGTCATCTTAGACGCTGCCAAAGGAGCCTATCCCGAAGAAATGGTACATGCACTGCCGTCTGACTCTGCAGATCAGCTGGAATCAAATCTTGACCGAATCCAGGAGTGGATTGAAATGTGGAGACATCAGCATACTTGATGATGTGGAGCTTTTTACCTTAGCATTTTTTTCTTTCTTTTTTAAAAGAATGTTCTTTTTTAAGGGCGGGGTTTGAGGTATTTTGTTTGGTAAAACTCGTGTTCAACAAAGGCACATCAATTTTGGATTTCGTTACAGCAAGGGACTTTAGTGAGACCGTAAATGGTCATTTATGAGTTTGGTAAATACAAGATATTTTATTGACTTTTATTTGAAAAAGCAGGGCTTCCTTCTCCTTTTGGTGAATGTGAGTTTCACTAACTTTTGGTGGGATGGGGGACTAGGGAGGTTATTTTTTCTTTTGATGTGAAAGTCAAGAGAAGTATTATTATGCACTGGAGTTGTATACATGTAAATAGACTTTTGTTTTCGTAAATAAAGATGTAACTATGTGAGAAAGGAATCTCTTGCTTAAGAGTTATTGGTATGCATGAAAGGGTGTATATGGTAATGTTATATTGACATGTCTTTATTGAAACGTTTCCTGATATCATTCTGTGAGTAACTGAGTGGAGAGCTTTAGAATGAAACATTGTGACTGCCTAACTATTTCTCTCCAAAAGCATTTCATGCTTCTTTTCTTGAAGGGTGCTGGTCATTGGTGCATGGTTTTTGTCTGATTCATTGTGTCATCTTGTTATTGTGTTTTATCCACTGTTTTCAGTCTCAAGTCTAGGCGTTCATTTAGTTTTTCTGCTTGTGAACTTGCAAATCGCAGACCACAGACTCGGGGAGGGGGAGGAGGGATCTCATGGTCTTTCACCTCCTTTCCTGCTCTCCAACCATACCTTGTTCTGTTGTCTGCTTTGGTTTCCACTTCCTGCCCCCCCCCCACTCACATTTAGTGGCGTCGGTGGCCTAGTGGTTAGGCTCTCGGACTCGCAACCGTAAGGTCGTGGGTTCGAATCCTGTCAGGGGCCTGACGTTGTGTCCTTGGGAAAGGCACTTTACATAAATTTTCCTCACTTCACCCAGGTGGGAATGGGTACCCAGCTATAGACAGTGAAAGATCTTGTCAGTTTGTTAGTGTTTGAGCGCTTAATCAGCTGCTTGCACTGTATGCTTCCCGGGAAGCTGAGAATGTTTGTAAGTGTTCTATGGTCTGCTGGGGTAATAATATAGTCTAAAGCGCATAGAGCTTGCTTTCGAGCGGGGTTATGCGCTATACAAATGCTATCTATTATCTATTATTATTTCCTCTCTCAATTTATCTTGGAATGACCTGTAGATTGCACATCGGTTTTACCCATGTTAACAGAAGTCACAAAGTTAATCTAGACTAATTTAAAAGTAAAGATGTAAATAAATGGCTAGCAATACTCTTGTTGGGGACAAAGTTTGTATCTCATTCAGGGTTGATGTTGGTTTACACGACTGTCAGCTTAGTGTTCGTTGATTTTAAAGTGGAATGTCCTCAAAAAAGTTTGTCTGCAACCAGATAGAATGGAGTGATTCAAATAGCTAAGACCCAGAAATGTCCTTGTCCAGTGTCCTGCCATGCCTTTTGCTGATAGATGTAATAATATGTAAGGTATTTCCTCTTGCAGAGGACTTACCTTGAAATGAATTCTGGTAAAGAGATTGTTTTATAAATATGCTGTTTGTACTTATTGATGATTCAGCAGAATCACTTAGCTTTATCTTGAGACAAGGAATGCATTTATTTGATCATGTCGCTGGTGAGGAGGATTGCAGGTTTTCCCAGCTATATTTTTTTCGTTTCCAATTCATACATTAACTGGAAGGTCACCTCCATATTTTTGCTTCTGGGGTCTTGTTAGTGTATGTGCCGCAAGTATGGCCTCAGAGTTGCACATTTTCCTCCGAGTATAAGCTCTGAACATTCAGGTTTTGGGTATCTCAAAAGAATTTAGGGAGCAGTTAAAATATGCCAAGCGTCAGTACCACAGACCAAGGGATCTGAATGCTTTGCTGTCACATAACTGCATTAGAAGCGGATATTCCTGAGGACTGTTGCATTTACTGTGTTTTTGAAAAATTTAATGGGTTGTCTCCTGGCATAATATGTGTGTGCGCCTAGAGAAAGGTACCAAAAGTCACCCCAGACTGTTTTTGAGCTACAGGCTGGAAGTGACAAAAATCACTTTTTTGATCAAAATGTGTTTCCATAAAAAAAATTAAAAAATGATAGAGCCACCATTTCTTTACAATGTGTTCAAAGGGCTTTCATTAATTTGACTTCTAAATATTTTATTTTGAATTGTTTTGAGGGTAGGGTATAATAAAAACATAATGAAAACTGCTTTTAAAAGGTGTTAAAATCTATTCTTGAAGCACGTTTTCTCTTCCCAGCTATGTTTTATCATTGAATTCCATTCGTGATATTGATGTCAACTGAATGCCAAATTAGACATGAATAAATACCTTGAAAAAATCGTTTTCTTAAAGTTTGTATGTGTTCTCACATTTGTTAAACTTAAAAGCTCATTTTCTCCACATTATAATTTTATACCCTACCTCCCAAAAAGTGCAATGTCTCAAAAACTACTTGAGATATCTAAAAATTGAAAAAAATCCTGTGTTCAGCATTGAATTTCCTATTAGGTGCAACCCTTAACTCAAAATGATCAAAATCCGACTTTTGGTACCTTTGTTTGGGCACACACACATATGATAATAATATTCAGTATTGTGTCATTGTCTTCTGTGACCTCGGCCTTATTATGTATTCAAGTGTGTAAAATGTGAATGCACATGCTACCTCAGAAAGATGTAAGAGATATCTGACTGACAGCAGATTAAAAGTAAGAAAAGCTGTCAAAGCTAGCTCAAGAGTCACTGTTATCATGTTCATTTCTCATTCTTTCTTGCCTTACTTGCTGTACACCTTGCATTGTGCCAATGTCTGAATCTTTTGTTTTTTAAAAATTACTCCTTTTATGATGATCAATGTTTCTCCATCACGGAGTCCTCTAGGAACTTTTAATTCAAAGACTGACAAACTTTTCCTAAGGAACTTTGCAATTTTGTTGCTTATTTTTATGAGATTCGCACAAAATGTGACATAAAAGAATGAAACTGACGGATTCAATTTGTGTTAAAAGTCAAAGGGAATTAATCATACTAAAATTGCTTTCTTTTCTGGTACACAAGTGATCTTTCTTTATAAGATAGTTTCACTTGGAAAAAGAAATGTTTAATTTTCATGTATGTAATGGTGTCTGGCACAAACAATGCTGTTTGTCAGACAATGTGTTGTTAGTGACTCCGCAACAAACTGTTCTCTTTGTTGAAGGAGAATACTGTAGTGCTGACAATGATTTTTACTTGCATGCACCCCTTACCATTAACTTTTTATATTCGAGGGGGGGGGGGGGGGTTTAAAAAAAAACTAAAGCTAAAAATGACAGAAAGGTCACTAAATGGGTCATTGAATCAAAACAAGTGAACTATTTGATAGTTCTTCATCTAATGAATGAACTCCTGGTAAAAGACCTGTTTTCGGCAGTTGCCGAAAAGTAATGTTGTGTCCAAGTTGTAAAGGAATGTAATGTGCCCGAGGCGCTGACAGCAGCGTGCCAGAGGTAAGGAGTTAACTAGGCCAGTTCTTGCTGCTTTGATATTTACCTTCCCATAGGGATGTCATTTAGTTATACTTTGGTTTACTGTAATACATGTGATGAAGAAAATTTTCAGATTGGGCATCTGTGGTGTAGTACTAGTAGTTAGGTGATTTGCTGCAGTGGGGTGCAGGAGACCCAAGTTCTATACCTGTGTGGGGAGAATTTTACTACCTTGTTACTTTCTGTTGGGGCGTTGTATCCGTCTCAGCCTAGGTTAGCCTTGATGGGCAGGGTTAAAGCCTGCCTCCTAAATGATTTAAATTGTATCAATAAGGGCTTGAAGCACCTATTAAAAAAAAGAAAATAATTTTGCCTCAGTGTGAAGGAAATTTGTTGTTTTTTTTCATCAAGTGCTGTCAGGTTGCGTCCATTGTATATGATGACTTGAAATGTTCTCGAAGTGCTTTAAAATGTGATCTTTTTGTTTGACTATTTCAGAATAGCTTGTATATTTATGTGTTTGGGGATACGAGTTTGCTATTTTGATGCGATTACCAAGCTGTAGTTGCTGCAGACTTGAGAATATCACAATGAACATTACTTCACTGAATATGTATGAGTATAAACAAGAACATAAAGAAAGCTAATATATCTTCAGATTTGGGTATCATCTTTCTTTATTCATAAGTCTAAGAAGAAAAAAAGCATAGAAACAGCACATCTGTCTGCATATGATGGCATTGAAATGATATGAATATATTTGACCATTTTAAATGTTATCAATGTTCTAAGGGATTATTGCCTTTAAGGGGCAACTAAAACCCCCTCAGAAATGACACAAATGAATAAATGATAAATAAATTAAAATTCAGTTTCCCTCACCAGAACAGAAAAGAAGTCTATGATTGATTTGTCTTTAAAAAGCAGGACACATTTACATTGTGTCAAATGTACACGGATATATATTTGTAAGTAATAATGTACATTTTGATCTGTATTGATTGAACACAATTACATGGATCGAAAGGGGCAGACACTTCTGTTTTTGTGCCTATTTAACTTATATTTTTTTCATGGGAAGAGTAAACATTTTGATAGTTTTCACCAAGGATTAATATTTGAATTTTTGTGTTTTATGGAAGTTATATAAAAGTTTCATGTATGTAAGAAAGAAAAGTCTTTTTGTATGCATACATGTATAAAAGTGTTTGATTGCTTTGTAAAGTCATGTTGAAACAAGTTATTAAAATCACATCAAAGATTTTGTTGCTTGACTTGTTTACTTTCACAAGTATGTCCGGCTCGTGCCTCTATATCAATATCTATGATCTTTCTCTGTGCGTTTTGGACAAGTCAATTCTCGAGGTAACTACTTTTTGCATGAAGCTATTGTATAGAACACAGTACATGTCAACAAGGCACAAGCTCCTTTTCCAGTGCTCAAGGGGAATCCTTTTGTAATGTCTTTTGGTGCCTTTTTTCATAAGTAAACTAGGAGATTATGAATTACATGATGTTACCTACTTCATTGATAATTAATGGAAGATGCTCAGATGTTATTTTCTGTATCAGGAAGGCCTTTTCTCTTTTTGGCACTAGAACTAGAATGTATGTAACGCCTCTTTCAATGAAGTGTAACCTAGTCTTGTTTTGTAGTAATGCTTTAGAACAAGTTAACAATGAAGGTTCTGAGGTGTTTGCCTTCACATTGTTTCCTACTCTTTGTTGACCATTATGGTATTGGTGACTTGAAGTTGAAGATGTGCAGGCCTTCTTGACCTTGCAGTAAAAGTCTGTTTCCCTATAATAAGTCTCCAGAAAGCGGGAAAGTTTTGCGTTTTTAGCGTCTTATTAATTAATCCTGTTGACACCCTCGGAGCACTGTGAGTCGCTTGAAAGTGTAAGCCAAGGTTATCAGAGTTTCCTGTTGCCGCAGTGGACTTCCTCGTACCATTCGCACTGCCTGGTGCTGTCGGAGAAAGCTGTTCCCCGCGGGCACTGGATCCTCTGGACCTTCTTCCCGTGGAGACACTGGATGAAATGGCGGCAGCTAATGGGGTCGGGGACTTGGCCGTTCTTCTGACACAGTGGGTCGTCCTCGTCTGGCAATGGAAGAGTTAGTGAAAATTGGAATAAGTTTTTATCTTCAATAAATCACACGATGTTATCACGATAATAAGATCTAGTCTATACATTTTTTGTAAGGATTTCTGGATCAAAAAATGCTTTTTTGCCGTTGCGAGAGCAAGTTCAAAAGTAAGGGTATCAGAAATCGAGTGATCTGAAAAGTGGGATGACACTCTAAAAAAAAAGACCAACTCCCCCTCCCCAACTTATAAAACCTTTTGACCTAGTGAAAGACTCAATGCTTTAAAAAGCAGAAGACAAATATACATCTTTGAAAACATAATTACAACCACCGTGCATAATATGTAACAAAGAAATACAAGCAGAAAGACGGACTCGCTGTACTGATTACATGCACTATAAATGTAAGAAAAACTGTTGTGATAGCTCCAGTCATAGGGAAAAGCGCTCAGTCACTGGACTTTCCAAGCGACCACCCCCACTACCTGTCATGATCTGTAACAACTCGGCAAATGCATGGATGACATATAAGAATCAGATATTCCGAGAGACTTTTTTCTTGTGATTCGTTGAATAAGCAGATCTACGTTACAAGTACAAGTTCTTTGAGTGCAGCTGATTACTTGAACTTAACTAATCTTTAATCTCACACACACACACACACACACACACACACACACACACACACACACACACACACACACACGCACACGCACACACACACATATATATATATATATATATATATATATATATATATATATATATAAATAGAGAGAGAGAGAGAGAGAGAGAGAGAGAGAGAGAGAATGATAAAAAATCCAACAAAACTACAACTTTTTTTCTAAATGCATGTATCTCGCACAAAATTTGTACAAGATAGAATGTTGTAATTTGGAACAGATATAATTCATTCAAAAGGAAATTGACATAAAATTCAAAAAGAAGATACATGTACATGTACTTATTTTAGAAAACGGATGTGGCTGTTACGAAAACCACCTATAAATGCAAAATGCATCAGTTTAAAAGGTCATGTAAGCAAAGTCGGGACATGATTGGTTTGTTTTTTCCCCTCCTTTTATTTTAAAAATCTAATCTTTCAGTCCCAGTAAACTTTAAACAATATTTCTTTTCTCCTACTGAGTTTTAAAAATATTTTTTTTAAAATTCTGGAATTCCAGGAACCACTGTCCTCCTTTGGACTCGTGACTCGACACATTTTAACCCGTCGTTCGTAATGTTCAGTGGTGGCCAAACGCAAGGATCCACCTAACCATATGAGTACTGAAAGCTACATACACTGTACACCTTATAGTATGGAACTGTTTCTTGGGACAGTAGGGGGGGGGGGGGTGTGAGGTTGTCTAGATAGACAGCATTTGTGGAGGTGATATAACCTGAAAAACTGAAAGGTGAATATGGGCTTTGTCATAGAGGATATGTTCATGCTTTTCGAGACGATCGAGGATTCATAAACACATTGCTATCCTCTTATAGCTTTGCGAACGGGAAAATGGTAGAGTCGTAGATGAAGATCTGCCTTGAGAATCTGTCCCCGTGGTTTTATGCACCCCGCATAATTTAGCAAAATTTGATCATTTTTTGCATAATTTCTGATTATTTTTATCATTCTTTATTTAAAAATTAACAGAATCGCACAATTTCACCTTTTTGGGCTCAGTTTGGATAAAATTCATAATTTTTCTTGCATAAAACGACGGGGACAGGAGAATGTGGACCGTTGAAATGTTGGAAAGTCATTTCTGAAGACATAGTCTGCGGACAGACGTCTCATGGGGCTCATCTACATGTACTGATTTCTGCTCTTTTTGTTCAGCGAGGGGCACTCTCACCTCAAATATCCTGTTGTCTAGAGTTGTCTTATGCAAGCTGTGTAGGTTGTGTAGAGATTATTTCTCCTTGTCAAGCTTTGCCTATCGGCGTGTTTCGCGGATTGAAGGGTGCGATTAGAGGAAGTGACCATGCGTTTGTACGCCTACATTATACAGTAAAAAAGCCCCCGCCCTATGCAAGTGACGAAAGCGTGCGTTTGAGCGGAGCGTGCCCTTGTATGGCGTGCGTTAAGGCGGAGACTACTGTGAATAATAGTGAAATACAAAATTGTAAACTGGGCTCTGTGTTCTGCTTTCGGTTTCCAAACGAGTCACACTTGCGTGCGGAAGTAGTCTACAAAGAGCATTTATTTATTTATCTGTGCTTTTTCTTTACGCAACAATGAACAAGAAATGTGTCTGTGAGTGGTCCCTAGACTTGTACATGTACCTCGCTACTGCTATTCTAGACTGGGTACTGTCATGGCTACCGCTCTCGGCTCTCGGCTCTCTTAAAACTTCGGTACGAAGGGTACCCTTTATGGGCGCAGGTGGTTACAGGGTACCACTGTGGTTCCTGTAGGTCCTACTTCTTTATTTTGCCTGTCTGCCTGCCTTCCTGTCAGTCTGTCTGTCTGTCTGTCTGTCTGTCTGTCTGTCTGTCTGTCTGTCTGTCTGTCTGTCTGTCTTACTTTTCCCCAGCACAAAATGTCATTATCATGTCGATGTGCTTTTCTTTATTCAAAGTCAAAGGAGCAAACAAAACTCTCCAAAAGCAGCGCCGTTGTCTCCGAATTTGAAGAGCAAAATACTGTCCCGCGCTAGTGTTCTGAATAGTGGGTTTATAATAATAGGAAAGTGTTGTAATAGTAAATAATAGTAGTATGCTCGAAACGTCTTATCTCAACAATTGAGTTTTGTTTCAAGTACAAGAGCTTGTCAAAGTGTCAAGTGTCTAAGAATAAGTTTGAATAACAAAAGCTTTTTAAAAAAAAAATGCAGTGGCTAGGACGAAGAGTCTACATAACAAGAGGGGCCACTTCTCTCTTTGAGCCAATTAAAAAAGTGTCCTCAAAATTCGGTGGCGCCCTCTTCACAAAAGTGCACCTTTTGCGAACAGAGTTACCCTACTTGAGTTTACAAAATTAAAGTGAAACTAGCAAGTTTTTGAATAAATTTCGGAAGAACGCTTTTTAAAAATGGTTACGCTGACCTGAGGAAAGGGTGATTGTTTTCTTCGTTTAATTTGACTTTAGAATGAAAGGCGAGAGGTCATTAAAATAAAAAAACAACTAAAACTCCATACTTAACGAACACGAACTGCTGATGAACAGCAGTCGATCTGCGCACGCAAGGAGGTGCTATTCCTATTCTTCTTCTGGAAAAACGAAAGAGAGCTTCAAAACAGACTGCAGCGCCATCTGAAGCAAAGAGCATACTTCCTGCGGACACTTTTTTGGCTGAGTGGCCCATCTTGTTATTTACTATCTTTGGTTAGGAACAGTACGTCACAGAAACGGCTTAAAAGATAGCAAAACTTTAGTTTCTGAGTGAAGTGAATCGTATGACCACGACCCTTCCTCATTTTTGGTTCTTTGATCTCTGCACTATTCTACTGTGGGTACCAACTATCGTGTTGGGAACAAAAAAGGCAGTCTGAGATCGTTGAAAAAGAAGATAATAAGTTTGAGGTATAGCCCTTCAATGGGCTTTTAACTCTAGAAATTAACTAAATTGTGCTTTCGATGGTCATAAACTTGTACATTTATTTTTAAACATTGTGCACCCCCCCCCCCAAATAGTGGGTGGTTGGCGGGTGCTCTGGTGTGGTTTGCTTCTTCTTTCCTATCAAACAGCTATCGTCTTTATCTCCCCTCCTTTTTTATGTTTGTTACTCCCTTGTAACACCCCTAATCTTCGGCACTTGTATGACCTTATTGTGTTGCAAGTGCCGTAAAACTTACAAAAACATTAAATGATAATATGTATTTTAAAAAAAGATTAATTTTTTGAAAAAAAAATGGCTGAAATATACGTTCTAAGTTTTTTTAGGGCTTGCTTGCGTGATAGTGATAGTCTACCCGACACCACCGTTACAGTCTTATGATGTTTAAAATGGAGGGCTCGCGTTATCAATCACATAATCACTCACAAATGGGAATCGACATGGGGATTTTTCTGTGGCCACAATCGTTAGCAACGGCTTCCGCAAACTCGCAGCTCTCATTCTTGGGCCAGTACAGTGTCCCGTCTGCGCAGCGCTGCTCGGCGATCATTGTGCCGTTTGCGCAGGACAAGAACTTGGAGCAGTCGTCAGGGTGGGCGTTGTTACCAGACTTCTTCACACACCTTTCGTCGGCTGAGAAGATAGAAGAGAATCAGAAAAGAACATCTTTGAGTAGAAATAGAACAGGACGACGTCCTTGAATCTGAGGGGCGTTCAATAAATCTACCCTAGCTGTGAAAAGACTTAGTTTGCAAGAGGGACCCCACCCCCTAAAAAAACAAACAAAAAAAAACAAAACAAAACCAAAAGACCCCCCCCCCCCGACAAACGAAAGCAAAACAAAAGCAAAGACAAGAAACAAAAATCCCCAATAAAATACAACAGAACACCAACAATTTCAAAGAAAGGAAAAAATCAACAGGACACCTGCTCATTATGATTATCACCCTACGTTCTTTCTTGTTTCTTTTCAACGACATGCTATTCTTATTTTATTTTTTATTCAAGGACATTTTGTTCTACTTTTATCCGATGGCGTTCTAATCTTAATTCTACTAAGCCTAGAGGCTACTTCTTTCCGTGAATTCCAAGGACCGTCTTCCGGGAACGTTTTCAATCTTGTTTTCTCTGTCAGCCTCATTTTTGGGGTGACGTCTGTGACCTAGTGGTTAGGCTACCGAACCAAACTCGTAATCATGAGGTTGAGGGGTCGGGGTTCGAGCCGTGAGCCTGACGTTGTGTCCCTGGGAAAGGCACTTTACACAACCTCGCTTCACCCAGGTGGGAATGGGTACCCAGCCAGTCATAGACAGCGAAAGATCTTGTCAGTATGTTAGTGTTGTGTTTTAGCGCCTATAAATGGCCGCTTGCACTGTATGCTTCCCTGGAAGTTGAGGTTGTTTCAGAATGCTCTCATGTCTGCTGGGGTAATAGTATAGATTGTGAAGCGCATAGAGCCTGCTGTTGAGCGTGTATTTGCGCTATACAAATGCTATCTATTACTATTATTATCTATTATTATTATTATTATTTCATCACGACATAGCACTGTATAACATGACTTCCTGGCGTGTCTTGGGTTGAAACCAGGAATTAGAAAGCATATGGTCGGCGGGTGCTCTGGTGTGGTTTGGTCATTCTTTCCTATCAAACATCAATCACCCTCATCTTTCCTCCTTCTTTTTTGTGTTTGTTGTTCTCTTGCAACACTTCTTACCTTTGGCACTAATATTTATAACCTTATTGTGGTGCAAGTGCCTTAAAACTCTTACTTTACCAAAAAACAACAAGAACAACCACAGAGATTGGTTCCTTAACCTGAGTAGAAGAGAACAAATCACTATCTATCTTTCGCCTGCGAGCACAACACATCCCACTGAATTCCTACATAAACAGGATCCGCAAGGATACCCCACCCGACTGCCCGTTGTGTGACTACCAGGATGAAACAGTATAACACCACCTCTTTACCTGCCCTGCACTTTGCGACCTGCGTAGTAGATGTACCTTCCTACCTGCCTCCCCAGACATCGGAAATACTCTTTACAACGACAAAACACAGCTGATAAAGACCTGTAAATGTAAATTCTTTGCCATATCGACATGCCGAAGGGATAGAACTCAAATGGTCGTTGGATCGGAAAAGTAAAGTCCCTTAGAAAAAAGACGCAATGCTATGTATCAATTTAAATATATGTCCCCGTGGTTTTATGCACCCCGCATAATTTAGCAAAATTTGATCATTTTTTGGGCATAATTTCTGATTATTTTCTTTTATCATTCTTTGTAAAAATTAACAGAATCGCATAATTTCACATTTTTTGGGCTCATTTTGCATAACTTCAGAATTTTTCTTGAATACAACGACGAGGACAGAAATATAAACGCCAGCACGTACCCAGGATGGAGATTTTAGGTTGGCCGTTGCAGTCATCACGATCGGGGTCCCACTCCCAGACACATGCCGAAGCCAGTTTTGACCACACTTGGCTAGAGTTGCACTGGATGGACTGGATCACCTCAAGGTCGAAGCCGCACTGGTGGGCGATTGTGCAGTCCAGAGTGTCTCGCACCTGAAATAACAGAGACGATTTGTGTCACCGCAGTTTTGGGCATATGGTCGCTTTTAAGGACAAATGGGCTACCCCAGATTCCGGGGGTTTCCAGAAATCTTGACCTACACCAAGAGTGGACATTGCCCTACCTATAAGAGAAATTTGGTTTCGTTGGTGTGTATATTTGTTTGGTTATAGAGAAAACTCTCTTTGTCTTTTAAAGAAACTGAACAAGGGGCAAAAACTTTATCGTCGATTTTCTCAAAACAGCATTTTTCGGATAGCCCCCTTGTGCTTAAAAGCGACCATATGGAGTTATGTATTGGTATCGTCTTAAAGTAAAGTTTGTTCATTCGTCTTTTATAGAGCCTAATATGGAGTTATTGGTATCATCTTAAAGTTTGTTCATTAATATTCTTGCTTTCTATAAACAAAATTACCAATCTGTTTTCAATATAAGTTGAGATATTTCGGATTTAAAGAGGTGTGGGTAACCTAGGTTCTAAAGTAAATTGGAGAGAAAATGGCCGCCAAAGTTTGGTTACTTACAAAGATTGAGAGTCCTTGGAAACTTAATTTACATTTTTGCCTTTTCAGTAAAAGCCACACAGCAAAGATGTTGAGTCAAATATTTAAAAAAATGTCATACGGAAAAAAACGACCTCTTACTTCGATTTCATTATTTTAACGAGCACCTGATAGCTTCACGATGCCTCACATTTGATTAGAACCTGAGGCATCATGATGTTTAGTAGATGTATAGTGGGTTTATCAAAATGTAGGTGTTCTTACGCCCCCATCGACACACTTTATGACATCTAGACTGCCTGTCAAAGCCAACCCGGGCTGAGAGTGATACAACATCCCAGCAGAAAAACCTAGATAAACTATTACAATTTTTTTCGCCACTCGGGAATCGAACTCAGGTCTCTAGTGTACGACCTCGAAACGTCTAACTGCTACACCACAGACGCCGGTATGCACAAAGTGTATGAAGAGGTCTGCGCAATTTGGAAGAAAAATTAAAAACTCCACGATTAATAGCCAAAGAAAACACACGTTTATAACACAATACAGATCAGAAATGAGGAAACAATCCGAAAAAGGCTGTAACGGTTAAAACACTTTTCACTTCACCTAACATTTTCTTTTAAATACTGTAGATTGAAGAATCAATAAAAAGTGAAAACAAACCTTTTAAGAGTCCTACCAGAAGGATAAAATAAGGATCGTTTATCCATTTCTAGAATTAACCGAAGTCTGTAAATATTTTCTATCAACTATTCAAATTAAGTGTTGAAATAAAATGGAAACACCCCAAAAAAAGCCACCCCCAACACAAAAAACAACAACAAAACAAAACAAAAATGTCGTATATGCTTCGGATTCTTACATGGACAGGCCATTGGAACTTAAGAACCACCCTCTCGCATGTACACGTTTGTTTGGTCAGTGGCTAGTTACTGATTCACAAAGTTTTCTTTCAGCTCTCCTAATTCTCCACCCCCCCTTGCTTATCCTTAGAGACAGCTAATGCAATGATCAGTTATTTTGTTAAACATTTCTACTGAATTTTATACCTTTCGCGTGAGTTAAAAAAATTAAATTTTGTGGTTTTTTGTTGTTGTTGTTGAGAAACTTGCTAGCTGGGCCAGAGTCCTCCTGGCGACACTATGGACCGAAAAAAAAGTTTTCGGAACAAATATTAGCACAATAACTAAAATATTGACAAAAGTTTTACCATTTCTACTTTCTTGCTCAACATTCATGTTAACCGATCAATTCTCATCAAGTCTTCGTGTTCTCATAACTCTAAAGGTAATCTACAAATCCAGCGCAAGGCGGGATGTGTAACCGACAGTTCCTTCAGCTCGCTGACTTTTCAACATAAATATTTTAATAAATATTATAAATGTAATATATATATCATAATATCATATCAAGAAGAATAACAGAGGGCGTTAGCATGACGTGTAATTGCTTGATTGCAAATTTAATTTTAAACGTAACGCCAGCATTGTAATAATTTAGACCATTTAAGAGGCGGGGTGCTTCGACTTTGCCTGCCAGTACTAATTATATTCAATGGGATACAGCTTTCTAGTGGTACATGTATAGAAACGAGGAGATACTCGTAAAATAAATTTTCCACACGGGAATCAAACTCACGTCTTCTGTGTGCAACGACGAAGAACCTAATCATTACACCACAGACGATTGTGCGACTCGTGATTGTCGCTGAGATGTTCAAATGCACAAACTACTACTACTACTACTACTACTACTACTACTACTACTACTACTACTACTACTACTACTACTACTACTACTACTACTACTACTACTACTACTAACTGAAAATGGCGCTATACGAAAAGACGTGAGAGTGAGGATGTGTTGTTAAAAAAATATACGCAAGCCCAAGGGAAATCAGACGGAAGACGCACGTTTTAGTCGAGATGCAGCCCGGAAGCCAAGCTATAAAACATATTTTTTCTTCCAATTCGAACGAGTATTATTTTCACATCTTTTCTCCAACTGTCAACTCTAAAAGTGTAATGGTGATACCTTTTACCATCTCCCCCCCCCCCCCCCCCCCCCGCCGCCGAAATGAAAATGTTGAGACAGAGATTAACTCTTTTTTTCTACTACTGAAACATGATTAATGGTCGGCAATGACCACTAAACACATCTCTTTTTCAAGGCCAATATAAAAATAAACAACGTTACAGAGATAAACGAATAAGATGATGCGATGCTACTACAGCCTCTTGGCTTAGGAGTTAAAATCAAATTGAAAACGTCTTCAGGCATATATATGATATATGCAATACATTTCAAATGTCAGCAATATCGTAAGGAAGAAGGAAACAAGGATAAAAGGGTAAAGACGAAAGATGAAAGGAAGCCTGTAAGCTCGCTCCGTGAAAGAAACGACGGAAAAGATTCAGAGAGAAACAGTAGAACATTTATACACTGTTTTTAGAAAAAATAAACAAGCAAACAATTTTTAAATGGCGGAGCCTCGAGTTTGAGCTTGAATTAGCAACGACACCACCAAAGTGAGCAGGAAAGGCTTTATTAGTGTGTTTTCGAGAGCACGCTTTTGTGTGTGTGCGTGTCTGTTCAAAATCTTCCCAGGTTAAAGTGTGTCTCTGAACATAATATTTGTCTCTGAAACCAACTCCCGCCCTTTCCCTTTTCAGAATTATGTTAATACATGTATTTTTGAATAGTTAATTACACTCGGCATTGCAAGTCAAGTTAAAAGAACGACAAACCCACACAAATAGACGTTGAGCGCGATGTTCCAGTGTCTCGGAGACTTACCCACAATCCTGGTTGCACGTTCTCACAGATGGTCGGGTCATAGTAGTAGTATTCGTAGCAATAAGAGGCCGCAAAGAGCATGGCCACAAAGGCGAGTTTGTCCAACATGGTCTTGAGATAGTTGACGTCTATAAAATGTGAGGTAAATTATTTTAAATGCGACTTAGAAATTGGATTCTCTAACAGACTGGCGTGAACTAATGGACGTTAATTGTTTGAAATTTGAGAGAGAAACCTGACAAGTTTCTGTGTATGAAACGATCGTTCAGTTTCTCTCCTTTCAAAAAGCTATGACATTTATTCCCTTTAAGGTCTGAATTCTCCACCTGTGTTGTGAAAATTTAGATGATTTGAAGCGCATTTCGCAGGCAGCTTTCTTAAGTATGCTGGCCTTGTTTGCTCACATTCAAGCGAAATTAAAGTCCGGCAGTGCTGGTCGGTGTTACTGCGTACAGTCTAACTTGAGCAGGGACATGGTTGGACAACAGAGCAACAAGACTGGCCTTATTTGTTTGTTGACTTACGAGGACAGGCCAGGAGAAAATCCAATATTGGTCGTTGTGTGTTTTCGCGAGGACTGGGCAAACATTTCAAATAAACATCGGCACGCCGTTTCCTGGCACACCATTGTCTGTCAGACGGCCACACTTTGCGTGGCAAGTCATCACCGTTCTTGTATTTTGCCAAAATTTTCCAACTTTTGCGTGTGCGGTTGTAGGGTGCTACTCCAAGGTCCTACATCTTCAACGTTGGTCTGTTATTTCTTCCTGTTGGTCAGCCGTCCCCCCTGTACTAAAAGACCATCATTGTATCGATGTTCTGCTCTTGACCTCAAACAAGTAAACATTCTCTCGTTTCCACTTCCTTTGCTCACCTTCAAGTCAGCAAATAATACCGTATTTTTTACGCACTCTTAGCTGCTGAGCAGAAATTTGATTTCGCAAGGTTTTCATTAAACAACCCCAATAACAACCCTGTGGTGAGGGGGTAACAGGTTTTCGCTTAATGACCGCTGTGACAAAGTGACCTTGAACTAGACATGCTGACCCTAGCCCACGTGGGTGTTGTCCTACCACAACCAACAGTTGTGTTCTAAAGTCTTTCTTCAGAGACTTTAGCAGGCCCTACCCTGTTACACATACGCCCCTTTCTTCAAAATACGATTACTGGAGTAGAAGGAACTCCCATTTAACACAAGTGTCCGGTTGAATCTTGCACGTAGATAGAAAGCCACGAAAACCCACAATGAAACCCAAATTCACGAATTTCCCGTTGTTCATTTAAGCTGACTCGTACATTATTTATTTTCGAGTTCTTCAGTGGTTCAGCCTCATGTGACATGCACTGGCCAGGAAGCAGTGTTGTCTTATTCTGCTCGTCCCATCAATTTTGTCAGTTTGGCACAATAGAGAGATCTGTATATTATTATTATTATTATTATTATTATTATTATTATTATTATTATTATTATTATTATTATTATTATTATTATTATGTGCCTTGCACTCAACAACGCATTAAAAACTTCACCCCTTTCCTTCTCGTTTTTCACTTGCATGTCCTGACCATTTGTGAGGCAGCGTGGTGGAGTCAGGCTCTTGTCAAAATAATCAAAGTGAAGAAACTTGCATTTTCCCGCAGGTTTGTGAATTTTTATCGAATTTTTTTTTGGCTCAACACCTTTCTTGCCCATTAAAGAACTCATTTCTGAGTCAATTTTCTTGAAAAAGTTGATTAAAGGCACAGGAAATGTAAATTTTCAGTTATCTCGGACTCTTAAGCTAAGGAAATAACTAATCATTGGCTACCATTTTTTTCACTGATTTTACCCCTGAAAACAGGTGACCCCCACCTCCTTCTTTCGCAAATATCTTGACTTGTATTCAAGACAAATGGACAATTTTTCCTCCAAATAAAGACAAGTGAACAAGCTTTACGATGATACCAATAACTCTACATGCCCAAAAATTGGCAAGAGCCTGATTCCACCACGCTGCCTCCCATTTCTCATTGAGAAGGTCACATGTATACGTGTGTGTTTGCGTTTCTGTGTGTGTGTGTGT